GCCTGCCTTGCGCAGCATCTTCTTGCAGGAGCTCCTTCTGAACTCCTGCTTCTGCTCCTTGACCGAGCAGCTGCTTCTCCCATGGGTTGGCCTACCAGAAGCTTTCCCTCCAGTGTCTGAGCCACCCACACCTGCAAAAGCACAATAAATGAAAAACTGTTCCAGAAACAGGTTGCCCTTTGCTAGAATTGAGCATGTGGAAACCTGAGCCTTCATGGGCTGACCGTGGCAGTGGCCGGAAACTCTGAACACATGAGCCATGTAGGCTGACTGTGCTGAAACTTCAAGTGCTGTTTGCTGACAACATGCCAGCACTCTGCATGTTGTTTTGGCACTCCGCAGCAGCTTGTCACCTAGTTTTAGCAAACTTGCCAGTCCTTCTGTAGCTCCTCTTGCAAGCTTGAGAACACTCTTCACAGTCTGCAGCAATCAGTTCAAAAACTGGCAACAGGTGGTCTTGGTGAAAAAGGACAGTCAAGTCAGCTTGGCTGTGCCTGGCCTTGGGGACCAACACCTTGACCTTGAAGTTGTCCAGGCTTATCACGATTGTGTTTGGGAGCAGGCTTGGTGCAATCTTCACCTTCTTCTTCCTTGGGCCCACTTCAGAACCCTCTGCCTCAGCTTGAAAGAGGTCATCTGGCTCCTGTGCATCTGCTCCTTTCTGCTCAGTGGTGGAACTGAGCACCTCATCAATGGCAGCATCCCTCAAGCCCTTCAGCTTTTTGAGGCCACTGCTTTCTGACAAGCTCATTCCTTTAGAAATGTCCTGGCCAGCACAAATAACATGGATCAAGCCAACGTGCGTGGGCCTGATCTTCAGAAACATCTCTTGTGTCTCCTCCTCCTTCACAAGAAGGTCTTCTGGCACTTTGCAATGCTTCCCCTTGTAGGAGATGCCAAATAAGGTTTGGATTGTCAATGCCATAACTATGAGCTGACACCTACAAGTAAGAGTACCATGAGCCTGCCATGGCAAACGGGTGTGCATGCCTGTGTGGAAGGCATGAGCCGTAAAGGCTGGACATGAGCTTTCAAGCTGGTTGAACATGAACACCAAGGGTTGCATGAAAGTGATCCTTGCAAGCTGACTGGGCGTGAGCTCAAAAGCTGAGTCAACATGAGCCATGGCTGGCTTAACATGAGCCTTACAAGGCTGAAGGAACATGAGCCTTAGAGGCTGAAGGAACATGAGCCTTAAAGGCTGGCAAAATATAAGCCTTAAAGGCTGACTGAGCACGAGGGCTGGTTGAACATGAGCCCCAGTGGCTGACTGAGCACGAGCCTCAAGGGCTTGCTGAACATGTGTGGCACATGATAAACAAAAAACTTGGTGCCTTGGTTTTCACCAACGCCACAGCCAGCCAACCAGCTGGCTCCTCTGTCACCTTGCACTCAAGCAGCTTAGCTTGATTGCTTTGTTCTGGCCCTCTTCCTCACAGGCTCCTGTTCAACATCCTTCATATCATGGCAGAGCTTGGTGTTGGCCTCCAGCAGCATGTCCCCTTTCTCTACAGCTTTGCAGTTAACCAGGCAAGGTATCTCCATTTTGCCTATAGTGATTGGCTTTCTGACCATATTGACCTTGTCCTCCTCTGATGTTGTCCTCACCCACCAGAAAGGGCTCATCATGCACTGCTCTGGTGCCGGCTTTGCAAAGTCTGGCCACAACTTGGGCTGGGACACTGTGAAGACATCCTTGCCACACACAAGCTTGGGGAGCCTGCTTGCAGCAGGGTCCTTGCAAAGGCTGACTGCACCAATGGACATCAGCACTAACTGCTTGGCTTTGAACTTCTTCTGGCTGACAACTCCTGGAGGGTGGTTGCTGAACATGATGTCCTCTTCTGAAGGCTGCTTCCCATTCATGAATGCTTGCACCAGGGCTAGCTGAGCCTTGCTCACTGCCTCCATCTCTTGCAAAGCTTCTGAGTTTTGTGGCAACAGCCCCTTGGCAACAGAGCTTGGGCAAGCTGTCTGTTCTTTCTGCTTGCTAGGCCTCATGCTCTTCAAGTTGTCCAGCTTGACCACCACTTCCTCTGCTTCCCCTAGCAAGGGTGTGTAAACAAAGAGAGCACCTTCATTGTCAACCTTCACAAGCTTCAGCACTTTACCACCTTGCTGGCTGCAAGTGTACAAGTTGCCAATTGTGATGTGCTTATTCAGCACAAGTGCAGTGTGGGCAGGGCTGCTTTCAAGCAAGTTCTCTGGCAAGCCTGCATCCTTCTTGGCTTTGGAGGGGCTGCAGGCTGGCTTTTCATGTGCAGCCACACTGCTTGCCTTTGGTTGCTTGATCTCCTCTGCAAAAGCCTTGCTGATGGCAGCAACACTGGGCCATCCAGCTGGCTCTCTGCCGTGCTTCTCTTTGCTGGCCAAGTGAAGGACTGTCCTGATGCACAAGCGGCCAAATGCTGCAGTGCTGTGCTCCTGGCTGGCCTTTTCCATCAGGCAAGCAGCCCACCCTGCACAGAGCACATTTTCTGCTTCCTCCACCTTGGCCAGCATCTGCACACTCTTCATCTTGTCCACATCACTCTTTGTCAGCAACTTGCTGATCCCATCACAATGCTTGGGTGAGGTAAGTTGGGTGCAAAGCACTGCAGCCCTCAAGAAAGGAGCCATGGAGGTCTTCATCTTGAACTCTGCATAGGTAATGCTGGAAAAGAACTCTTCACCAATCAGCAAGGAATGCCCATATGACTTGCTGACTTCCTTCAAAAATGTGATCAAAGGAAACTTGTCCCCGCCACCATATAGCCTGACATAGTGTCCTATGGTGGGCAGATAGCTTGCACACCTGGGCTGCCCTGCTGCAGCCTGTTGCACTGCCTTGTTCAGATCTTTGCACAAGCTGTAGTTCTGGGCAATCTGGCATGCAATCTCCAGCTCACCTGTCACAACTGTGGCAGAATTGGTGCAATTGAGTGCTCTCTCGTACATAGCAGGCAAGGCTGGGAAGACATCTTCCACCTCATAGCTGATCACCAGCCACTGCCAGCCTTCTCTGCAAAGCTTTTCAAAAATGTGTCCTTCACCCTTGCCCTCCACCACCTGTTGCATGCTCAGGCTTTTTCCACCTGGGGACATGCAGTTTCCCTGCACTGCCCTGAAGAAAGCAGTGCTGTGACTGGCAC